CTTCCCACAGAGCGACGTAGGTATGTTGGGGCGTGTTAGAACGAGCCGTTTTAGGTAGTTGTGGCTGACTCAACTTTTATAAAGAATTTCTCTTTGGATTTGAGACTTTAGTCTTTGCAACTTTACAGATCTTCTTTATGCACCAAGAGCTTGTAACACTCCAAAGAGAAAGGAAAAATTGAAATCGTATGACCCCTTTAAGAATCTAATTTAATCTCACCTTATTGTAAAAAAAAAAAAAAGTGATGTCTTTAAAATAACAGTGGGTCTGTTCCTCAGGCAAAGCTTAAAACATATGTAGTAGCTTCTTTACACACATAATCGAATAAAAAGCCTGGATTTGATCAGAGTTAAATAACGAGCATCAGTCAGTGAAAGACTCAAAGATTTACTTCAGCCACATTTTATGAAAGAGATGTTAGAGTTTAGGCCACTGTTTGTTAAAGAGATTCAATAAAATTTTGAATTGAAAATTCAATTATAGAATTATACAATCTAGCCATTCAACAGTCTATTTAACTTTTTTTTTCTGTAAAGATTTTACATTAGATTATTCTCTGTAAGACGTTTATGAACTTGCTAATCAAACACTGTGATGAAAAGTATGGCACACCTCAAGCAGATCCTCGGTGGCAATAATCTGACTGTTGTGAGCAGAGAGTTGATGCTGAATGAAACTAAACAGAAAGTGTCTGTGAAGAGCGCAGCGCATACACGGGCGCTATACAAACATTCGCTCGCTATTATGCAGATCTGCGGTAAGTCACAGCAGATATGACACATCGTGAGGAGCACAATACAAAAGAAAACATTGCTTATAGGATGCGGACAGACTGCACATAACTTGTAATGATACAGGATGTGGGTTATTTTTTGTTTGACATCTTGTCATCTGAAAATAGACATAATCCGCAAGCAGTTAACACCTAAACCAATGCACTCACACACACACACACACACACACACACACACTTACACTTAACTTTAAGTGATTTATCAATATGACCAGTCTGTCTGACACCATCGGATAAGAACAAAACTTGAACTGAATTAGGCTGGATCACCCAAAAAAGAGAAAGATCAAAAGAATCAAGTTGTTCTATAAAACGACAAACATTCAAACAAAACAAATCAGGCTACATGCCTGTGTGGAAAAGGTGAAGCGGTAACACGTCAAATGCCACAACCGCAGCGACACAACAATCTTCCATTTCGGTGACACCACAGTTAATGCAAATCCACATGAGGTTCAGGGTATTTCTTTTCACATTCAGTTCACACTTCTAATACGTCTAGTACAAATATGTCACTTAGTTTCATAATTACTATGTATAAGGTTTTCTCTATTTACCCCAAAATAATGGAAGTGAAATGTGACAACATGACCTGTAGGTGGGGTACATTGTAACATCTGAGGGGCACGTTGTAACATGACCATATGACACCTTAAAATATTATCTGATCTAATAATAATAAAATAAAAAAAAAAAAAATATATATATATATATACACACACACACACACACACACGACAA